ATGCCTTTTTCCTAGGACGAGTCAGTTATTTTCCGGGGGATTAGTCTCATTTCGGTTGCCTCCAAGCTACTGGCATTCATTTCACTACGTAGACTATCTACCATTCGTGAATCACAGTACCGCGAAGAACAAGCTGGTTTCCGACCTGGCCGCCGGTGTGTATATCAAATATTCACGCTCCGCCAAATCCTAGAACACGACCACCATTACCATAGGCCTACCATCGTTGCTTTCTTAGACATCCGTGCAGCATTCAACCCGGTTGATCGACCTGCGTCATAGCGTTGTTTGCTAAGGAACGGGGTTCCAGAAAAGTACACTGTCATCCTACCTGTACTGTACCCCCACATCTCCGGTAGAGTGAGGGTCTATTGCAAGTTTTTGTCATCCTTCGCTGTCAATCACAGTGTACGACAGGACTGACCTATGTCCCCGTTCCTTTTCAATATTGTCATTGAAGACGTCCTGTCAAGAGCTCTAGACGATTACCAAAATTTTGATCTACAGCTACTACCGGGCAAGCGAGCGACCGACTTAGATTATGCCATTGATATCGCCTTACTTGCTGACGACTAACAGAGCTTGCGAACAATTCTTGACCGTTTGGCGCTTGAGGCATCTAGTTACTGAATGTGCTTTGCCCCGTCCAAGTACAAAGTGAAGCTTCACAATTGGCACTCGCCCGTTCCCGTGCTCACTATTGAAGGTACACAGTTTGAACAAATGGATAGCTTTGTCTACCTAGACAGCTGTATGTCTGCTAGTGGTACCATTAGAAAGGAAGTTTCTCTTCGCATCGCCAAATCTCGGTCGGCGTTTGTCAAATTAAAACACTTGTGGCGTCGTCGGGATGTCTCTGTTACTAAAGGGTCGTGTTTACAATGCCACTGTTCGGGCGGTGTTGCTATATGGAGGCGAGTCATGACCAGTTCGCGTGGACGATATGCGCCTGCTCTCGGGTTTCGACGATATATATATATATATATATATATATATATATATATATATTACCAGCATTCTACAAGATAGACATAAACCCAGCGAACTACATGAAATGGAAATAATAAATACAGAGGTCACAAAGAAAACGATGGAAGTTACAAACAGGCTTTTCGTTTTTGAACCTTGTTTGTCTTTTTAATTTTTTCACACGCCGTTTTATTTTTCTTGTCTGTTTACTGTTTGCGATGTAAATCAAAAAATCGAGACAAACATTTCTACACACTTTCCATTGGACCCGGTTCTGCGCAATCTCCGAAAGAGTTTCCCTAGCGGTGTTCTTCATCTTTGATCCCCCAGCCCAGAAGACGCACGGGACCTACGACAGGTAAACTATAAGTCAGCGCTTTAATCGTTTGTTGCCACGTCAACCTTCAGTCAACGCCTCCCAATGGGCGCGGTTCCCTAAATTCGCCCCGCTGCCTTTGCGGGTAGGTTAGTTGGCCAAAGGCTCGGGGTGGAGTCCCCTAAGTCAACTCTCACCAAGCGCGTGACTGCCACCAAGCTGATGTCCGCACGAAACAGGTGACCTACACGTGCATTGAGATCTCCGGCAAGGACGATGACATCTAACTTTTCGACCTTTTTCCAAAGGTTGTGGAGTCAGTTGGAGCGCAGGCAGAAACGACAAACAAATTGCGCCTCTCTTCACGATGTCTGTTGATTCTACGTAAGCCTTGAAGCCGGATCGCACACAGCCGGATGTCGCTTGGAAACCAGTCGAGTAATGCAGCCTCCGGTTTGTCACTCAATGCGATACCGACACCAGCTGAGCCGGCTGCTGCCGCCTCCATGGCACCAGACAGACGTAAGTAATATGTGGTTTCAAGAGCAGCTGGGGACGACAATTTAACGACGGTGCTGCGATCCTGCAATCGAGTCTCTGAAAGGCAACAAACATCGGTGGCGAGGGACTCTAGAGTGCGCACCAAGCCAGCCTGGTGTCCAATCTGTAGGAGGGTCCGAACATTGAACGCTGCCAGCGGAATGAAGTACGGGGTCAAAAAATTAGTGATAGCCGAACGATTTGGATATCAGCGAGACGGTATTGGAAGTAGACCCAACAGGTTGGGGATTATCAACAATAGAACAGTTGGCGTGTGATGAAGGAGCACCAATAGCAAGGAAAGTAGCAGCAGGAGTGAGCGACGTAGTAGTAATTGCAAAATCCGTGGAAGCGAGTCATGGCCAGTACGCGTAAACGACATGCGCCTGCTCTCGGCAGTCGACAATGGATGCTTGAGGAGGATTGCTCGTGTGTGGTGGCAACACTGTATCTGCAACAATGAAGTCAGACCTCGTGTCTTAGGGAATGTGCGTATTCCATTCAACTAGCTGGTTTTTCTGCGTCAGTTAAGATGTCATGGTCACGTCCTGGATATGTCAGCTGAGCGTTTGCCCCACTGCGCCCTTTTCGCTCGTGCAGGACTTGGCTGGAAGAGATCACATAGCAGCATATGAAATCGTTGACTTCACGTCTTGCTGCCGTTGGATCCACACGTCTGCCCGGTTGGGTACCAAAGAACGAAGTGCCTATGGTTGGAAACAATTCAGGATATGACGCGCAATCAAAATCACTGGAGGATCTGTGTACATAATGGTTTAGATTTTAGATGCTTAATGCTTACCCACCGAAAAAGACAAAAAATGCAAAAATGGCGTATGCAAAATAACAAAATAATTGTTCGGTTCTTTCCTTCTATTGCGGCACAATAGCTGAAATGTGTTGCTCACCTTCAGCTAATGTGCCATGATGATGGTGCGTTAATTATACTTGTTTTCTAGTGATTTTCCTGGTTTTGTTTGATTCTATGTCCATTTGGTAGACTGCTGAGTATGCAATAACAACAACTACTACTACTGCTACTACCACCACCACCATGGCGTTTTCCCTCGCGGAATCTAATGATGCAGGTGCTGGGGTGCTGCTTGAAGTAAAGCTGATTGATCTTGATTATGTGAACGATATGTTTATCGACGTTTGGGTTGTCTTGTCAACCCTGAATAACATTTCTGGAGTGATCTCATCACTTGATATACGCTTCGCATCTTCAAAATGCAGTGTTCTTGCAGGATCATCAGTCGCATTATGATCTGCTGATCTTTGATAGCGGGGAACTCGACCTATTACTCTATCCACTTACCAACTTCATCAGCAACCGGGAGTGCATAACTACTGAAGTAATGCGTAGCTTGCATCTGTAACATCTGTGTCCTCAGAGGGTTTGTAAAGCCGTGTTTACAAGACCACACTGTGGGCCGTGCTACCATTGCAGAGGGAAACTTGATCAGTTCGATCTGATGATCTGAAACACACTCAGGTCTTTTCTCACCGCTGCCTGCGCATCATGCTGGTGTCGGATGGCACCTGCATGTCCGCAATCATGGTGCGTGTACGCGAGTACTAGGCAGTAATAATTAGGCTAGTTACCTAGAATAACAGATAACACTGAATAAGTTGCGTTGGCTTAACCACATACTGCGTATGCTTGGTCATCGCTTACCGAGAGAACCCCATTTTCTTTGCGAGATGCAGATTGGTGCAAGTCTCGAGGTGAGCGAAAGTTAACTTTTCAGCGCGAAATAGAGTCACTGACCACAAAACTGGGTGTATTTGGCCCGTCTGGTCTTCCAGGCTGGAGCACACGTGATGCGCCTTGTGCTTCGTTAGAGACTTTACAGGAAATGGTTCGCAGTCCTCACCAGTGGAAGGTCTGCTTTCGTCTCTCTATTCAGGCGATCTGTTCAAAGTGTGTTTTGGTTCTGAGTTATCTGCCGGATAGTTGCTGGTTATGACGCAGGGCGGTGAAAGCTTCATGGAAGCTGTCTCGTTGATGCTGCCTTATCTTTGCACCATAGCCGGCTGTCTGTGACGATATCTTTTTGATAAAGTATAGATGGCTTGACTCTGAATGTTTGCTTAGGACTTTGGGGTTTTGCGCTAGGTCAGTCTTTACTTCACTTTTTGTTCTTTATCGCGTAGGCTGTTGTGGTTCTACGGAAGGTAAACGTCAACTCAAATGGCTGATGTACTCATGATGATGACTTCACCTCCATTGACGGTCATGTGCTTCGTTCGGGTCCTCTCTTGTCCATTGACATTCGGTAGTCGCGGTGCGTTTGGTAACTAACATGATCATTTAATAGTATTGTACTCTATCCCAGGCTATTGATATAATGTACAACTCATCAAGTTTATTAGATGACCTCCCATTCTGAGTCTCCTACCTAACGCACAAGCGACCACGGTGTGACCTTGACGACATTGTCGTGTCCGCATTGTGGTGGTTTACTTTTCAGCAGTCAGCGTATCGCACTACACCGTCCAGTTGCTGCTGCTTAACTGCGCGTGCACTTTGCTTGTATCCTAATGCGCAATTAGTAAGCGCTGTAATGACGGTGATCTCTAACTGCATTCCATTATCAACTTGCTTACATCGCACAACAAGGCCTGCAGCTGAAGCAGTTTGGTTGTTTGGCTACAGCAGCATGTGAAGAACATCTTGCACTTGCCAACAGTTCAATCAGCACTTTGGTTTACTTCATTATTGTGCGTGTGTTTTAATAAATATAACTTAAGAAGTAGATTAAGCAATGCGGTATTTTCCGTACCTCGGTGTGTAGGTGTAACTTTGTTGACGCGCTACAGCGCAACTGGTTCACAACGATGAAGCATGGTGTGAAGAAGAAATGCGACTCGTTAGGATTCGAACAAAGCGATTATTGCCGACTACAGCCACACTTCTTTGCGACTGCGCCACATCAGATGGGGCAATCACCAGAAAACCGACCTGCTTGCATCGAATTTTCCATTGCACTGCATAATATCATCTAGCTGTGATGTCTTCCTTGTTTGATTCTATCTCACTCTTCTCCTCGTGTTACGCTGCATTTTGCTGCTTCTTTCCTGAAAATTTTCGAGTCACTTACAACTCGAATCGTTTTATTTAACGGTTCGTCACACTCATAGCTTCACACAGCGGTGTAACCTCATATTCCAGGTATCACTCGAATACCCTGACAAGAGCGAAACGTTAGTGTGTTTCAAAGTGGAAGATGTACTCCTGCCCGTCGGCTACTATTTCGGAGTATCTGCTGCTACCGGCGATCTATTTGGTAAGTACATTGTGATTCCTCTCTTCTTGTTACCCGCAGCACTTTTTTCCATGGGTTGCATCGACATTTTATGCTGACATGTCCGTCACTGACTGATAAGTTTGCCGTTTCAGGCTTTGTTTTGGGGACCGAAGCGCGATGAACACGTTTGGCTGGATTTACTTGTCGTGGCTAGGAGCCGACCTCAATAGCGTTTGTGTTGTGAGTTTTTTTGTCCCTCCTTCGCCCGCTTAGCCTCCGCTTCCAACCACGATCTCAATTATTTAGCGTAATATGACTTCCGCGGCGTAATAGCCGGCTGATAGCTTTCCGGAACAATTTCCATGCCTTACTTACTGGTGACTCGGCCGGCGTGCCTCTGTTTTATTTTTTCTTTTCCTTTGTATTGCGGCATCATAGCTGAGATGTTTTCCACCTGCAGCCAACATGTATACTGATGATCTCAACAACGCGGAGCACGTCTGCACAGGCGTGATCATGGTAAGAGGACAACGGATGATCGGGAAATGTATAGAAATGTTACGAGTTTTTCAGTAGCAGTGGATCGATGAATGTTCATGCATTTGTAGGTGTGCATACGTGTAGCTATCTTACTTGGTTTTATAAATGTGCCACTGCATTTCTGACTGTGTTTGCTCGCGTCACCAATGTGAAAAGGGATGATTGATGTCTGTGGAATGGATATGATTTTCCGTATAATCAAGATGAAGTGACTTTAGTTAGTGGCGAGTTGCAGCCGAAACGTCTCGATGTTGTTCAACAGACACTTGTGCCAGGAGCAAACCCACCACGTCCGGGAAAAATACCGAAGAACTACTTGTTTGAACGGAATAAACGCAAACCACCCAACGTGCACATCAGGGAGGTTGTTTGGATTTTAAGTTTGTCAACTCACACATGGCAAACCGTTTATGCGGATAATCTTGTTCCGGCAGCTGGCGCATTGCGACTGTGCGCACGGTTCAATCTCTTCCAGGACGGAACATGGCTTGGGTCTCGCCGATATCACCTTAGTAAGGACCGTTGCCGTAGAATGGCAGCGCTTGAGTTAGGCTGTAGCAGGATTAATATATCAACACTTTCTGTAGCACCCTTTCACTATTTCAGATAGGAACAACGGTCGACAACCGCCAGTTGAATAGGTCAACAACTATCAATTCTTCAGTTTTGCGGTGGCCATGAAGATAGGTCACTAAGTCCATATGCCTTGCGCCGGTATATATATCAGAAAATGATGGGTCAACATTTCAGGTGATTTGCCACTCAAAAAGTGATTACAGCGTGACGGGGATTCAAACTGCTCTGCAAACCCAATCATTTGTCATACTGTTGTTGTTCTTGAAAACATCACATTCATCCGTTTCCCAGCTGCTTTACTCTACCGGATTTGTCTGAGATACACGAACCCTGCGAATTCCAACAGCGTTGGACGATTTATCATGGTATTGGTCATTACTGTCTCTTAGCCCCTAGTTATCCGCTGACTCCGAATTAGACGCTGTATCCCATGGCAGTTTGCCGATTTAGTGTCGCACGCATCTTCAACCGGATTCTTAAATTTGGTCAGCTTGCATTTCTCAGTCACAGTCGTCGATGTTACAGAAATCTAAAAATTGTGCGCTTCGATCTAGACATCTTGTGCCTTAGACTCCTACGTCTCGTTAGCCAGCAAAAAATGGGCCAGACACATCAACTCGTCCGGTGTTGCGAATCGCACACTCTTAGCGATGGTGGCGCTGCCATTGCAAACGTTGTGACTAACAGGCTACCAGAGATATCGATTGCGTTTTTATGATCAGCGTGGGTCAACTCCAGCATGACCTTTGCGCTGCTCAGTTTTCGCTAACTAGCCGAATTTCGCATTCCTGTCCTCTGAAGAGTCATAATATCAGTACTCTCAAGCACGCTGTCACGGAATGCTACTTACTAACAGAATTCTTCGTCGATACACTATGATGTGCACTCGTTGGGAGCACACTTAGACACCATACATTCACCATTTCTTCATTCAAAATCTAATGTCTGTTTCAGCCTTGCAATGCACTGGGACCCTGTTCGTCACAATTGCTTTCCGCCCCTTTCAGCACTGCCTCTACGCTTCCAATCCCTAGCACGAGAAAGGCGAAGAGCAGTGTGTCCCATCATTGTATCATACCATCGAAGTTGTGTGTTAGTTGGGCATTGCGTTCACTTGTAACTTCCAAGAGAGCATAGTGTAAAAACAGCCACTAGTTGATTGATTATTGACATTCCCTATGTGAATTACAACTGTTGCCTTGAAATGCGGTTTATGCACATCGTTGGCATAGGCTGCGAATTCAGCTGTCTGTCTCTTGTTGTTTGACTATGGTTGTTGATGTACTCAACATTGCAGAAGTTTCTAAGTCAAAAGAAAGAACCCTGGCGATGTAGTTGTTCGAGAGTTTTCATTTCCACCTCTGGCTTTTGAAATGGTGGGTATTCAGCTTCCTGATGCTGATGACACTTAAACTTTCAATATCCTGCACATTTCCACCATTTTTCGATCTTGTCATTCCGTTCCGTTGAGATCTCCGTTTTCACTTTTGCAGAATACTCGGAAACGCCGTCTGATTACGAGTCTCAGAATTTACCTTGAGCATTAGTGGGTGGCGAACCTCCTCGCATATGAGAACGCCAGCACCACTGGCAATTCCACAGTATTATTTCGACCTATTTGACGCACGAGTGCAGTAATGGTTCTCGTGAGTGAGATTATAGCCGGGAAATATGGGCATCTTACTCACTCTCATTAAGGCAAACACTAAGCGGAGCACCTTGAAGAGCAGCTTAGTCCACCCTATGTGTCATAATTGCTACTGGGGTCATCTGGATTCAGCTAGTACGTTAACGCAACATTTCCTACGATGGGTCAGATTCAGGATGAGGTAGCATCTCGCAAACGTAACGGGACACCTGGTCCCGAGGGTCTTCCGCGACCGCTGCTGGAGGACAGCGATGACCCACTAGTCTTTATTCTGACTGCTCTGATCGACACTGGTTCGATTAAGAACTGCGATCTGGCTGCTTGGTTTGCTCACATGCTCGCACGAAATCACATGCATCGCTTCGGGTCAAATTGTTACCTGGTACTTAGTTTGATTTCCTGAAGACACCGGCACTCAACTCTGATTTTTGTATGTTTATATGTAGTTTGTAGAATCGAGATTATGCTCGTTTTTTGCAACATTTTCGTTCGCGTGTTTTCACTGCTTCAATTTTTAGAGGCCGCTTTATACAATGACTGTTTTTTTCCTGTCCCTCAGATAATCACGATATTTATTCTATCCGGACATATGAAGTCGCTGCTGATCGTTCGGTATGTTTTTGGTCTGGTTCTTTCGGTTCTGTTCTACTTCGTATTGCAAGATACCAATTGAGATGCTGAACGACACATGACATACTGCTCAGCTGATTGTTTTTTCCACACCCATTCATGCAGACCAAAACCCCTTGGACTATGAAAAGCATGTTATTGACTCGCTAACTCAATCAACCAACTGCATCTGATCCACCGGCTAGTCAATTTACGAGTCTTATTATGTAACAAACTCAGATAACAACACCTATGTTCCTCTGTTCGAACTCTGTTTCCGTAATTTCTTTTGCTCTCCATCACGACGTGTCTTGTACACCGAGTTGCTACAGGTTTCTTTCCGTTAAACTTGAATGCCAGGATATGTTTGTTACCCACAAACACTTAATTACATCTATTGAATTCGTCTAAGCAGCTCAGGCGACCTTATTACCAATCCGGGACAGCACTAGACGGCCGTTTCACCCCATTGGATCTGCCGGCTGCCGAAGGGATGAGGCATCTTCTTTGTAACTCAAAGGTCATCGGTTCGAACTTGCCTAACTGCAGGCGACATCGCAGTGTCTCTAGCCCACGTGCAACTGGTGGTAGTCGCGTGGCAGTTATGCGTACCAGTGTATTGTTGGTGCGTTGCTTCGCCCTGTTGGGGCTCGTCACTAGTGCGCATCGCCCGGCTCCATCAGGAACCGAACCTATGGCCGGTAGCAGCTTATTCCAACTAGCCAGCAGCTTTGACACTGAGCCACGGGGAACGGTGACAGACCATCCTGGCTTGCAGTCTAAGTGAGATATAGCACGACCCATCCTCCACTGCCATGCAAATTACTACCCTTGCAGACGTCAGCGGCTGACCCCCACGAGGTCATGGCTTCCCATAATAGCAGCTATGTATGCATGACATTTGAAGGCTATGATGGCATACTCATTTGTCTGTATTTGTTCCATTTCAATCGAATCACCTGTCTGTGACTACCAAGTCACGCCCATTTCCTGTAAGCGAGCACAGACAGTCATGTTGCAACCGTCCTTCTTGACTGAGCCAGCATCCATTTTATCAGTTCTTTAATCCAGCTATTAACATCTGCGTTTTACATCATTCCACTGGTTATCACCTTGTAATTTATCCAATCACTCTTCAGCCTGAGGAGTTGTCGGTTGATGCCTCGCGAATCGAACCGTCAGCTGGCGTGGGATCTTCCCCAAGAGGTAAGTGCTGTTGCTCTGTGCGTTTCATCACCACCCTCCATCTGGCCGTTTGATAATCTTTTTTCATGATGCGATAAGCAGTAAACACATGGACCACTCTGCTGTTAAATTAACTCTTAATATAAACCGCCGTTTACTCATATTTTCACTGTGATGTTTTTCACAATGGGCTGTACCATGTTCCCAGATAAACAACTTTATGCCATAATGGTCACAGCGAAGGCCTTATTCATTTCCGCATTGTGCTACTTAAAATAGGATCCAATGGCGGCATGATCTGGTCTAGTGTAACGGGTATGTATTTTGAAATTTATACAAATAAAAGCACTTCGGGGGAATCCATTCTGTAGCAACAAGAAGTATGCAAATTTTTGTTAAATTGTGGTGTGCCTATCGCATAACCAGATTGTGACACGCTGTCCCAACGTGGGGTACACTTCGAAGTAATCCCCTGTCATTCCGACCACTGGGATGGCGTACTGAGTTAAATTCGTGCTGCTGTGTTAGACAAGTTCAAACTTCTGACTGTACAACTTAGTATGGACGCTTGGCTTAACTTGATATCTCGGTCCGGAAACTGTTTCGCTGCACACTGAGATTGACCGCATGTTATAAACAAATAAATAACTAGTGTACTTCTATGGTTACCGAGATTGAAGGTGATGCGTACTTCGTCCTGACAAACGCCGTTATCGACACTTTAGCATTGGTTCGGGGCGCAACATGTATGCCCATCTACTTGTTCTTTGTGTCTATATGCGTGAACCCAATTAATTAAGTGCATGTTACACGTCGGATAGCCTTGCCTACAGATCGGATTGCTTTTAGTACCATGGTATCCCGATACCGTTTTCTGTTACATTACTAATTACAAACCGTTTGTTGGCAGACTTGACGGGTTCGTCCCTTCTACGCGATCCTTCATATTAACCGACAAATCTACATAATGCGGTAGGCGTATATTGACTAAGCAATTTAGGCAGACCACTATCAATGTCGTCTTAATTTTCCATCCGTTGTGGTCGCATTCGGCTGGGTAGCTGATCACTTCAAGCATTCTGATTAGCCTGTACTCGCTGAACTCCATTCACCCGTACTTTGCTCTGGCCGCATGTCTTTCGACGTTGCCTGTGCTCTCATGCTCTTCTGCCTTACACACCTGTTTGCCTGAATTACTTGTGTCGTAATATTGTCTCTGGGCGGAGCAGTGAAAGTAGTAAAGGAGCGCTTTTGCCACTGTCGCCGTTTTTTCAAAGTACCGGGTGTGGTGTTGACAAGGTGTAGACATCCCGACTATGAACGTCAGCTCAGCTTTTCCATAAAGTTTCTCTTCTTGTTCTTTATTCAAATGGTTATGTTACACAGAAGTGCCACCACAAATTACAGTCATTTGTTGTTGCCTCGTGCTTATTATCCCTTAATGTCTTGCCTTTGTTGTATCAGTCACCTCAGCTGATTGAACTCTTTGTTTTCATTCTATCAAACTTTCGCGGTAACCGCCAGAATGCTCATTTCAAGTTGCTAATTATGTTCGCTGTTTCCCGCTTGCCACTGCCACCCCGCTCAACAACTTGGTTGACTGTTTTTCTCCCATTTTTAGCCTCGATCCCAGAATCTCCTCAATCGTCTTCTGCCGGCCGCACGTTCCTAACTTGTATTTACTGGCTGTTCATCCTGGCCTCTTTGTGCGGATGTGTCTTCTTCGGCTATCGGTACTACTGCAAAAGGCAACGGGAACTGAAACGACTATACTAAACCCGACATATCCGGCATTGCAATGTAAGAGCAGTTCCACCTACTCGACCCCACACTAAACCAGTCTTTTGTACATCAGACTGTACAACCTGTGCTTTTGGCGCTGCTGCCTGCGCGAACCGCTCCGCCGATTTCTTACAATCATTCTACTTCCAGAACTGTCCACTTCGGTTGACCGATTCCTTTTTCAACTATTCATTTTATTCACACAGTCGATTTACCGCACTCTGATGATTACTCGATGTATTTTTTTGACCATTACATGTTGCCTTGGACAATATTGCCTTCATATTTGTTGCCTCGGTCGCTTCACCGTTTTTGAAGCTCCAAAAAGTATCTTTCCGAATTTCTTTTAATCCCTCCGACTTCTCAACCTTTCTCTCCCGTTGGATGAATTGCGGGCGTACGGGACGTCTATCTTTGTGGTAGAGCCGCATCACTGTTTTGCGGTAATACCTCGCGGTTAAGGACCATGGTTCATTTAGGCACTCTTCTTTTTCTGCGATAAACTGGGTCCCAAAAACACTTTAAGACGCGATAGCGTCACTTCCTATTCAACCAAACACCTTTCTCTGTGCGTTCACTTCCTCATCGCTTTAAGAATTGGATCCCGCAGACACTCGCTCATTACTGTTCTTACAGGCTGTATACGTTTTCTTACTAGAAAGTGACAATGTCTACGTCATGGTAGCTCGCTTTGAGGGTCAAGATAATAGCTTTGGATCACTTAGTCTCCTTTTTAACTGGTTAGCGTTCTGGGCTTTCACCCTTCTCAACTAGCTAGACTAAACATGTCCCGGATTGTAGTTTGCTGTCTTGAACTGCACGTTAGCTTTCACGCTTTAGTCGAATGGGGCGTTACTAGTAATATCGACAATCATCCCGGAGTTGGACTACTTCAGGCTTGCGCATTCGATCATTCGGGAAGCATCGCAGTTGTTCCCATTCTCAACCACTTTCATCGATGTTGTTTCTTGAGAGCTCGTCCAGATACAATCCTTCCGGCCTATTGAGCAACGTTCCTCAACAAAGGCTGTAGTGCCCAAGGGTGGATGGAATATGCAACGTATCGCCTGGTGTTTTCCTGATCGATGGGTGTCCACAGAAGCAGCTGAGGCAACCTGTTACATTGTCTTATCCACTTTGGTTTCCACATGTTCGCTTCTATTTGATTCTCAATTGTACTGCGTTCACGACTGAAGAGTGCAGTTGTAATGTTAACATATCGCGACTTGTGTCTTCTTTCTGCGCTTAGTATGTGGAAAGGGTGTTGGATAAATTCTCTGCAATCGCTATACTGTTCTCCACCAATGATATATAGCTGTTGTGCCTGCATAAAGCAACGCTGTTTACGTCGCCGTCACGACGCACGCTGCCGAGATCATCTGCGGCATGAGGGATGTTGGGAAGCATCACATACACAGTCTGCTAATAAACAGTGCGGCGGAATCGATACTGAGTATGACTGAGTTTTGCTCTGATACGCTTTGATTTTGCAACTGTCAGAAGCTTGTTTCACATGTACATGACTTAGGCAGCTGGGTAGTATTTTGCTTATTGATGAACCATGGATCCACTCTCTCCTGATGGTTTACTCCCTTGCTTCTATGCCAGCTTTACAATCGCACGTCACCCAGATACCTACTCTGCTCCTGTATTACTCATCTTCATTACTACCTGATTCCTCGATGAGGAACAATGCTATTTCTGCAACATTCAAGTCAACCATGCAGTGCTCTGCAGGACACCATCAATCACGAGGTCTTCGATCTCCGCTTTTACAATCTGATACTCAGTTCGCCAGAGAAACGTTCAATTTGTGCATTTTACTGCCGATCGGACTGCAAACTAAACTTGTAAGCACCTTGGAGACTTACAATTGATGCCTACTGCCTGGCTGAAACACGAGTTCAAGATTCCAACACCTTCTGCCAGGTATCGCCACGACTCCACTCACACACTCGCTTTCATCTCCGCATTTCTGGGGAAACTGCGTCTGTCACCTTTGCGTATGCCGGTGCTGGAACTGCCCTTAGTTCTAGAGTTGTGGCCGTTGTCTTTGGTCGGATTCAATTACACACTCGTCTTGTGCTATGTGGCTCCTGCAAAGTTAGCAGGCGTCGAACCGATAAGCGTGTTCTTTCTGTTACCTCGGCCTATGCGCAAACTGACTGAAGTTCGGGTACAGTCAAGGACCAGTACTATCACAACATCATCTGCTCCTAAGAACATTTAGAACCATCATCATCCTTATGGCGGAAGATTCCAATTCACCCTCGGTCGGTTGCTGCTATATGAACACCACCCTGGAGATCGCATGATGATGTTCGCTCTGATGGCGGAGAAAAGCTGACCATCACCAGCGGCAGAAGTACATCAGTCATTTAAATTGATGCTTAGCTGCCGTGTATACATATAGACATATTATGTACGGCCGTCGCAACAAGACTGGACCTTAACGTGGTGCGACGGTTTGCGTACCTCATTGAGCTATACTGGGTGGTGCCTCCGTGCACCTTGAGAGCTACTCATACCAGCTTGGTCAGTGGTGAGAGGTCAGACAAACTCAGTATCCTGGTCCTCCAGGTTAGGGGTTTGAAATGGGATGGCGTCCATTTCTGTAAAACTAAGTCATCGCCACCTCCCCACTGCCTTGCGGACAGGCTTTTGAGCCAAAGGCTTTTGATGAGGACCCTAATCGTCCACATGTCTAGATCTGAGCGCCCTGGCAGTATCTCAGCCCACATACAAGCATGACATTTTCTTCAAACATAAACTTCATCCTGCATCGGCCGTCGCGCAGATTCTCAAGGGTCGCCTTATCTGCTGCATACAGGAGGGCGGATAAGCGAAAAAATGCTACTGCTAGCGCCTCCCTTCTTTCTTTTCCACCTGTTCCTCTTACTCCCATCCCGGCCCCCATTACTAACCTTCCTTCTACAATTCCCAGCTTAATTGACAGCAACCGAAGTGCCACTGGAGTAGAACCATCTACAGCCACCATCCCACAGCACCTATCGGCAAAAGTCCCTTATAAGGCCACGCTATCCCGTTTCCATGGCGACGTTCAACGTTCGCACTCTAAGACAAACAGGTCAGCGGGCTGTACTCGCGCGCACCTTAGACACCCTGGGTATTGATGTGTGTTGCGTGTCCGAAACTAGGATCAATGAACCTAATGGAGTTGTTGAATTAACTGCACTCGGCTTATTCTCTCGTTATTGGTTGTACGCATCCGGAGACAGCGATGCAGCACTCACGGGTCAAGCTGGTGTAGGTATCATTCTAAACTCCATGGCTGAACCATTGTTGGTTGATTGGATTCCGGTGAACAGCCGTTTATGTGCAGCCCGTTTGACGACATCAGCGAAGGTTGATTCACGAAGTAGTACAAAACGCTGTTTGTTTGTGGTTTCCGCCTATGCTCCCACCGACTGCAGTTCAGATGTTGTCAAGAACGCATTGTATGACGAACTGAACGCGCTACTACGCAGTGCTACTAGTTCAGATATTATAATACTTGCAGGGGATATGAACGCACAAGTAGGGCGTCTGAGCTCTTCAGAAGCTCAGCTAGGTGGTAATTATGGGTTTAACTCCGAACGGACTGACAGTAGTGAGTGTCTGCTGCAACTGTGTGCGGAGCATCAGTTGTTTCTTAGTAGCACTGCTTTTAGACACAGTGGGCGCCGAAGTGCCACTTGGCGTCCTCCTGTAGCTGGCCAGCGATGGTCCCAAATTGACCACATTGTCATAAGTTACAGATGGCGTGGTTCCATCCTGGATTGCCGCTCATACTGGAGTACATGTGTCGACTCTGACCATGCCTTGGTACGCTGTCGTTTCTCCATGAACTTTACCGGGAGGCGCACCAAGCGTCCCCTATGATTGGCAACGGAGAAATTGTCTCAATCCTCGGTCAGGCAAGCCTATCAAGAGGCGCTGCGTATCGAAATTCCGCTGTCTTATCCTAATGACACTGCGCTTCAGTGGAATAAGATCTCGGCCGCCATGCACGACTCAGAAGCATCTGCTTGTGGCACCATCAGTCATCACCGCACCAGTCACTGGATATCCGAAAGGTCGGTGAACCTGTTGGAATCTAGAAGACACCTCCCGGCTGGCTCTGAACACAATGTGACCAGACGGGCTATTAGGCGTGAACTAAAGCAGAGCCTGCGTGCTGACAAGGAAGCGTGGTGGACCAGTCGGGCTCAAGAAATGGAGGAGGCAGGAGCAGTAGGCACTTACCGGAAGCTTTTCCAGCTAATCCGCACCACTGGTGCCAGAAAACCAGGCGTCAGTGAGACAATCAGAGACAGCGCGGGTGCGCTGATACACAATAAGGAGCGCCGTGTGACTCGTTGGGCGGAACACTTTCAAGATCAGTTCAGCTGGCCTCCTGCTCCCGGACCTCATCCTACTTAGGTGGTGCAGGACGAGCCATGGACGGTCAGTTTAGAGCATCCGTCGGAGGCCGAGGTCCGAAACGCGAACACAGCCCTCAATCGTTTTCGTGCCGCTGGCCCGGATTCCCTCCCACTTGCACTATTTAAGCATGGAGGTGAGGTCCTCTGCAAAGCACTGACCTCCTTAACCGAATGTATCTGGAAGGAAGAGAGTGTCCCGGCTAATTGGAGCGAATGGATTATAGTGGCAATATACAAAAAGGGCAGTCGCACAGACTGTGCGAACCACAGGGGTATTAGCCCAACGCCAGTTGTGACAAAATTACTGGCCTCGATTCTCGTTCGTCGCTTCACTGCGGAACGGGAATCTCGGATTAGGGAAGAGCAGGCCGGTTTCCGCCCAGGACGTGGCTGTATAGACCATATATTCACTTTGCGGCAGGTGCTAGAGCGGCACCACGCATACCGCAAACTGACAATAGCTGTGTTCCTCGATTTCAAGAGTGCGTTCGATTCGGTCGATCGATCGATTCTGTTTGAAATACTTGCGCGGAGAGGTGTTCCCACGAAATATGTGAACATCCTTCGTGCTCTATACTCGAACACTACAGGCCGCGTCAGGGTCTGCGGTGTCCTCTCGGATAACTTTCCGGCCACAAGTGGCGTTCGTCAGGGTTGTCCGATTTCCCCATTTTTGTTCAATTTCGTCGTGGATTCTATCATGGAGTGTTCCCTTGCACAATCTCTTGATGTAGGCGATGAAGTGCTTCCTGGTGAAAGATTAGTTGATCTTGATTGTGCGGACTATATCGTCTTGCTTTTCGACGATGTTGGGGCGGCCCAATCAACCCTGAATAGCCTGTCCAGAGTGGTCACATTATTTGGTATGCACTTCGCACCTTCAAAGTGCAAAGTGTTGCTGCAGGACCACCAGCCACTTGATGACCCCTTGACGCTTGCTAACGAGGAACTCGAGGTGGTTGATCAATTCACTTATCTTGGCAGCTGCGTCAACAATGATGGGCGCATAGAAACTGACGTCAGCTCACGCATTGCAAAAGCCAGAGCTACCTTCTTGAACCTGCGGCATCTTTGGCGACAGAAGGGAGTTTCTCTCCGTCTGAAAGGCCGTGTATACAAGGCCACAGTGAGGGCCGTTCTGCTCTA